GTTTGCTTGTATACTGCTTTTGTTCTGATTGGTAACAGGTTTTTCAAAATGTTTTACTCAATTATTTATTTTTGAGGTGTGTCATTGGGTTTATTTATTTATCTTTTGAGGAGGTACTGGGGATCAAACTCAGGACCTTGTGAAGGCTAAGCATGTGCTCCACCGCTTTAGCTCTATCCTCTTCCCCTTGAGCTGTATCCTTCCCCCAAGACTCATCCATAAATGGTGCACATGAAACCTCACATGGTCCTGGATCCAGGACGCAGGACCCAGGACCCAGGGCAGAAGTGATAATTTGAGGAGCCTGGGTCAGACCTACCTGCTGATTCTGGAGAGTGTCCCAGAGAGGCAGAGGGCACCTTCAGCTCACCCTGGGGACAGGGACACTGGTGGTCCCAATTTGGGGGAGCTCCTCTTACCTTGTGGACGTGGTGCTGGCAAAGCACCACCCTGACCCAACTGTCTGCAGGTGACCGTGCTGGGACTCCTGAGGGCAAGCACCTAGCACAGCATGGACACAGCCCCAGCCATCAGCAGACAGGCTACCTTAGGCCCTCCTGAGCCCACAGCCACCTCTACACAGGCTTCTGAGCAAGGCCCTCACACCAGCATACAGGCACAAGACCTAAGCCCTCAGGGCACTGCCCTCCAGCCAGAGACCCTAGGCCCAGCTCCACCCACCAGTGGGAAGACACCAGCCGCAATAAAGACTCAGTCCTATACCCTGCAGACACTTCCCCACACTAGCAGGCCAGTTCCTGTCAGAGAACCAGCTGGGCTCAGGCTCTGCCCAAGAGAAGTTCAACACAAGCTTCAAGACACCCCTTGACCCAGCAATCAACTGTGTCAGGAACAGAATCTAAGCAACAGTGACCCAACACATGCTCTGGCACCCTGGGTTCTGCACCCAGACCCCAGGACCTGGCTTTGTGCTCTGGGTTGGCTGACATTATCCCTGTGACATGGCCTCATTCACCAGTGGGTGGCCAACTTACCAACATCTCCTGAAACCTTACTCCCCTCACCAGTAACCCAGCACTATAGCCCCCCAGGGCTCCAAAGTCAGTGTCCTGGTGACCTGGTCTC